TGCGCCATGGCAGCCAGATTTACCCCGTGATCAATTCCTCGAGGGAGAACGGCCCGCTCGTGCGTCGAGGCTGTCATATTGACCTTATTGGTCTTGAGATCCTGAATAATACGGTTTTTGAACGAACCGTCGTGCCTGCGCTTCCTGACGCCCCCCAATGGCGCGGGGAAAATCTGGCCAGAGCGCGCCGACGCCTCGGCCTCGCTGCCGAAGGTCTCTCCGAATCCTTTGGACAAGTGCGCACGTATCAACTCCATCGTGGGTGGTTCGCTCTCCCCGTAACTGTCCTCAAAGGACGGGTGGTTCGACGTGAACCTGAAGGCCCCCGAAGCCAAATCAGCCGGGCATAATATGCTAGGCGACTCGGCGAAAGGAAAATGGCCCCCCGGGGAGATGGCGCGCATAATTCCCATAAGAGCGCCAGTTTGCATCCAAGCCCCGAGCTCCTGGTCTGGGTCCGTGGTGGCCCTCAAGATCTCCTGCAAGAGCCGGCATCGAATCCCAGATGCAGGGTGGGTGCGTTCAACTTCTGGCCTGGGGAGTCCGAGCGCTCGACCGACAGCAATGCGCAGGGCGGACGCCGTTTCCGGGCTGGGCGGCGGGCGGACCGGTGGAGAACCACAGCAGTCCGTCAGACACTGGAGGGGCGATGTCGACCCCCGGAGTTCGACAATGGCCCCCTGCACCTTCCACATGATCTCCCGGAGCCCTCCGGCAGCAGAGACAGCGCGGGCAGCGTTGCGAAGGCCCGCCGAGCAGGTCGAATATTCGCGGCGCCGTTCCTCCCGCCGAGCGTCTCCGTCCACGCCGCGAGAAGAATTACGACGGACGCGATCGCCCTGAGAGGCAACCGTGGGAATGGAGGGGCCGTGCAGGAATGAGGTTGCTCCCGGCCCTGCCAACTCTGTCCCCGTACCCCAAGCCATGCGCACGCGTGCCCAAGCATCCAGGACTCCATCGTGTAGTTCGTCAGGGCCCCCAGGGACCGGGCCAACGATTCCTCGGTGCGGGTGCGGGCTCGTCTTCCCGCAGAGGTAGGTGACCCCATCCCCAGCAAGACCGCATCATCCATCCAGAGCGTCGGGGCATTGGCCGTAACACCGCAATCTCACTGGACGGTCGCAGTCGGCACCAAACCGGCATGGAGAAAAACGAACGTCCGACCAACCCTCGTCGAGGAGGGAATCGAAGGAGTCCAACAGCCAGATGTAAGACCGGTCAGGGCCCTCGATGCTGACGACGGCACCACAGTCGGCAAGCGCCCGGGCCACCGCAACCACCCTCTCGGCGACTTGGTTGGCTGCGAGAACCTGGGCCCCGGCAGAGGGAATACCTGCCGGATATTTTGCCGAACGGACCCTAGTGCGCCGCGACCGGTCCTGGGCCCTTGCGAACGTCGTCTGTGGGGGGGCGAGCCGGACAACGAGAGTCCAGCCCCGAGCAGTCAAATCAGCACGCTCTGCGAGGATGGGCTCAACACCGGCCTCCTCGGACAAGTTGGGGATGCCGCTCGTGGACGACAGCCCCGAGTGGCGCGCCGGCAGACCGAGCGCTTTCGCCTTCCGCGCCAGCGCGCCAGCGTTGGTAACGTCAAAGAAAAAGAGCCCCCGTCCCCAGTCCTCCTCCACCGCCTCCGCCCCAACCGCCGCCCCCACCCCGCGCCCCCCCGCAGCAGCAGCGGCCAATGCAGGCGAGGATTGGGCAGCAACGGGTGGACAGGAAGGCGAGGGAGGTGTAGGGAAAGATGGCGTAGATGATGATGGCGAAGAAGATGGCCCCGTTGCCCTCTGGATCTTAGCACTCAAGCGGGAACGTTGTCTCGACAAAGACGTTGCGAGACATGCCAGAGATGCCGACAATTCAGCTAGTTTCCGCTCACGCCCCGAAACATCAGGACGCGCCGGCAATGCCGAAGCGACGCGGGGGCCACCCGTAATCCCGCAAATTGCAGGAAATGCCTCGCGCGCGACAGCCGGCGAAAGCGGGCGCGCTGGCATTGCCGGCGCGACGTGAGAACCCACCGCAATCCCGCAAAATGCGGGGGGGGGGGGCCCGCGCGCCCCGGCCAGCAGCGCTTGGCGCACGCCCTCATCAGGCGGCCCGTCCGCGCCCAGCGGCATGCGTGCTCATGCGGTCGGCTTCCAATTCTTCGGCCTCGCCGCCGCCGAACACTGGTTGTCGATGGCGCGGTGCCCGCCCAAGCACCGCTCACAAGAATGGCTCCGCTTGTTCGGGCATGGTCCGGAGACGCACCCGTCGGGCTTCCGGTTCCACGAGAAGCACAGCTCCTGCCCGTCTTGAGAAAGCGGCCGTCCTTCCGTTGCGCCCCAAGCGCCGCCGGGCCCTTCTTGGGCTTCGCCTTCGGTTTGCCGCCTGGCGCCGAGAGGGCCCCGCCGCCCGTCTCGGCGCGCGGCTGCCGCGGGGCCGACGCTGCCTGCGTGCCCGGGCGGGGCGCCATCAAGGCAAGCTTGTCGACGTGCTCGTACCACCAGCCACTCATGGCCCCAGTGTCCGATTTGGCACTATCTCGGATCACTGCCTCCCACGGGCGCTCTGGGACAAACGTGCCGGAGTACGACCCGTTCTCCACCTGCGTCTCGATGCGCCGCCTGACCCGCTCCCACTTTTCGGAACGCATCTCGTCGTCGGCTTGGGAGATAATCCCCCAGTGGTGTGGGAAGGTGGCGCAGAGGAGCCGCATGCCTTCCTCGTACTCGTCCAAAGGCCCTGGCAGGCAGGCCTTGAGGGTCACCATGGCGGTGCGGAACACGCGCCAGCAGGCCCGCCACTGCTCGAACGAGGAGGGGCCCCTAAGCTGACGCGTGACCAACTCGCCGCCTACGAGCACCTGCGCGGTGAAGCGCATGACCTTCTGCTGGCGCCTCCCAAACGGGCCCCACGCCGCCATGTCCGTGTAGGGGGCGACGTCCTCCGCGAGCCTGGCCGCTAGGGCCGAGATCTGTTCCCCTGTGGCCTCTTCGTGCTCTCGGGGCGGCCCCCCATGCGCCCTCTCGAACTCGTCCAGGAAGGAGCGCAACCTGGGCTCTTGGAGCAGCTCGAACTCGCCATCGTCGGCCTGGTTGATGAAAGCCGAAAACTTACGTTTCCGTGACGCCTTCCCAAACTGCGCCGGGGAAGCGTTCGGTGCCCCGTGCGGACCGCCGCCGGGCGGCCCGCCGCCGGGCGGCCCGTCGGGCGTTCCGCCGAGGGTGCCGAAGTCTGGCGGTTTCACACCCCCGACCTCAGCAATGCGGCCCAAGATGCGCATGAGCGCCATTTTCTGAAAGGCCGAAAGGCGTGTACCAAACAGCTCGCACGAGTCCATCGCAGACGTCAGGTCGGTGACGCGCATCCCGAACACATCGTTGACTGATACTGTCTCGTAGGACGCTCCAAGTTGCGCGACATAGGCCTCTAACAACTCCTGGTCGGCCCCCGAAGCGGATGCCACGGCGGCGACCCTGAGGTTATGGTTCACACCTGCGGCGGCCCGAGCACGTGCCTTGGGGGTCGGTTCGGCCAGCGCCGCAGCCCCATCCCCCGCCTGAGGCTCCCCCGCAAACCACTCCGCCATGTGCCCCCAACCTGTTTGAGGGAGGCGGTGGGGGAGGAAAGTGACAAATGGAAAGTGGAAAGGTACAGTAAGGAATCAAGGAGAAAGTCAAATGAATTGACACTGAAGCCAAAATGGACACGATAGCAATGCCATCGGCCGGCTATGCACAACCCATCATGCTGATTTGGGGATCCTTCCAAAAACGCAGCTTGAATGCATTCGGATAACGGTGTCGGAACGCAGCTTTTATACATAGCCAAAAACAAGCAAAAACGAGCAAACGTCGCCTGAACTCCGTCAAAGAACGCCATCTGAATTCACTCAAACAAACGCGTTATGGAATTGCTTCCGAAAAAAACTACCTGAATTCCCTGTCTACAGTAAACGCTCGTTGAACTCGATCCAACAGAACGCTGCTGGAACTATTTCAACCAAAACACTCTCTGAATTCATTCAAACACGTGTTTTCTCTAATTCCTGAAAAAAGACGCTGCTTGAACACCTTCCACGAACGCTCTCGGAATCCACTCAGACAAACGCGCTGCCTGAGCTCCCTCGGAAAGCGCGGCTCGACCCCCTCCAAAACACACACGGCCTGACCTCATCCGACCAAAACGATGCTCCCCAATCAGAGATTGCCTCTGTTGGAGTCCTAGCGGATTCATATCGCTAGGTTAGCTGAGTCGCCAATGTTGGCAGCCCGTCCGGGTGCCCGGGTGCCCCATAACCCCATAGCCCTACAGCCCTATAGCCCTATAGCCCTATAGCCCTATAGCCCTCTAGCCCTCTAGCCCTCTAGCCCTGTAGCCCTGTAGCCCTCTAGCCCTCTAGCCCTCTAGCCCTCTAGCCCTCTAGCCCTCTAGCCCTCTAGCCCTCTGGCCCTCTGGCCCTCTAGCCCTCTAGCACTATAGCCCTATAGCCCCAGTCCTATAGACCAACAGCCCAATAGCCCTCTAGCCCTCAGCCCTATAGCCCCATAGCTCCATAGCTCTGTGGCCCTATAGCCCCATAGCCCCAAAAAAACTTATGATTGGGGTTCTCTCCGGTTGAGCTCCACCCAAACACCACGTTCATTTGTCCTTCGATCCGCCGACCGTGCGGCGTGTATGAGATGGTGTCGTCGCCTTCGTCGTCGTCATCGTCGTCGCCAGGTCCAAGAAAACTTGGATAACAAACAGAGAAAAGAAACGTCGTAGTGGAATCGGTGATCCATCGCCGACAGATCGGCGATAGGCCCCAAATCACCACGGTCGCGGGCGGGGTGGGACTATCGGGCCCGAATCGGGAATGAATGGGCGATTTGGGGTCGATGTATCCCCCCTCTGTGCCTGTCTCCCCCTATCGTTGCCCCTGAATTTCCTGTCCAGAAAACTGATTTCAGAATCCCCTCTCTCTAATGGAAAAAAACAAAACCCCGAAAAAAAGCCCGACCGCCCTCGCGCGC